GATTGACCGAGGTGGACCTATTGAATTTCCGCCAAGATCACGAGATCTGACATCTTTAAATTTCTTCTTGTGGGGTTTCTTAGAAAATATGGCTTATGCAGACATTTGCACAACTCCGAATAATTTAAAAGAAAAGATTTTGCACGCATGCCACGAAATTTCAGCGGAAGTGCTAGGAAATGTTGGCAAATGCTTTAAAAATAGAGTAAATCATTGCATCCAAGCTGAAGGGTATATTTTTGAATGTCAACTTTAGTGAGGTAAGTCATAATATAAGAATAAAATACTACTGTTATTATCCAACACTAAAATTGAAATATTTTTTAAATCAATAATTTTTCATAATAAGTAGCTTAATACTTTCATATGGAAAATAACGAGCTACATCGATTGATACATAAAAAAATATGCGATTTCATTTAAGAAAATAAACTTGACTATGGGTGTTCGGCCGCCTCTGGGAAGAATTTACATGAGGGATTCTAGAGGCCAAAATAAGACGAAAATCAAGAATACCAATCAGTTGATGGAGGCTTCGTTACAAAGTTATTAAAGTTAAAGTTCCGCCTGTAGAATAGCAATCCGCATAAAGCTGCGTTCGCGCGGAAGGTTACGGCAGGCTAGTGCTGGTGGTTCTCACGCAGCATGAAAAATTCTACTTAACGACATTATCAACAGCCTTAGATTTTTGTCCACTTATGGAAATGCGAACACCTTACATTGAATAAGATTCAACCTGTCTTATGAAAATCCAGAAGGGCATATCAAAACTCGCTCAACGAGATTTTCACAGAGAAAGGGAGAATGCCAGTTCCAATACACAATGTTGTGAACAAAAATCAACCACACGCGATCATACATGCCCCACGATTTTCTACAGTGTCCGCAAGTGTCCACAAATAATCATTTTGGGCACTAACCACTATGCAATTAAATAAGCACGCACCGCGATTATGTTATTCCTAAGTGGCTATGTGTACGTGCACCACGATTCTCCCAAGTTACTTACAAATAGAACTGTTATTAATTTTTCAAATACACTTTAATTTAAAAATGTAAAAAGGAATTTAATAAGTATTCGCTGATTGTTTATATCACTGTATTTCTTACATGCTACTTAATACATAACTGAATCAAATATGTCTAAAATGTGTCGCGTCAACTAGCTTGACCGATACTTTTTTACGACTGATTAGCTGGCCGAACACGTGCCGATGCTGCCCTTTGTCTCCGCTGAGTGTGAGTGCATATGTGTCTGTGTGTGTGTGTGTGTGTGTGTTAGAGAGAGAAGCGAGGCGAGTGACATAGAATCGGGGTCCTGTACGGCATTTGTTTCTTTGAACCTCGTCGATCGATAGCACAGTCAGCTGCTAGTATAATTACATTCTTCGACGTGAACGTAAATCGATACGAAAATTTCATTTATCCTGCGATTCCTTTTTACATTTTTAAATTGAAGTGTATTTTGAAATTAATAACAGTTTTATTCGTAAGTAACTCAGAAGAATCATGGTGCACGTACACATAGGCACTCACGAATAACATAATTGCGGTACGTGCTTATTTAATTGCATAGTGGTTAGTGCCTGAAAGGATTATTTGTGGACACTTATGGGCATTGTAGACAATCGTGGGGCGTGTATGATCGCGTGTGGGTGATTTTTGTTCACAACGTTGTGTATTGGAACTGGCATTCACACTTTCTTTGTGAAAATCTCGTCGGTCGAGTTTTACTATGCCCTTCTAGATTTTCATAACACAGTTTGAATCTTATTCAACGTAAGGTGTTCGCATTTCCATAAGTGGACAAAAATCTATGGCTGTCGATAACGACGGTAAGTAGAATTTTTCATTCTGCGTGAGAACCACTAGCACTAGGCTGCCGCAACATTCCGCGCGAACACAGCTATACGCGGATTGTCATTCTACAGGCGGAACTTTAAATGTTTATAACTTTGTAACGAAGCCTCCATCAACTAATTGGTATCCCTGATTTTCGTCTTATTTTGGCCGCTAGAATCGCTCATGTAAATTTTTCCCAGAGGTGGCCCTGTATGTATACTCTACGCGTCCACCCATCTAATAAGTTTAGAATTTTGAAATATAAAGAAATTCATAATAATAGAATAATAATATCTTGGATGTAGAGTTTATTTTGTCAATTATCAGTAAAAATTCCGTTATAGTATGCGTAAGAAAACGATATTATTAAATACATACGTAACGAGTTGAAACTTACGCTGGTATTGGATCAATGGATATTTTCTTAGCAGCCCTCTTCCGTTTCGGCGGCATGGCTTTTTATTTATCTGCAATTATAAAAAATGATCAGGCCTTAGAATACCATATTTCATCCAATCGTAAGAAATAGCTTACAATTTATGTCGGTTCCTCTTGTATTTAATAGATATGACTGAAGCTCGTCTTCTGTTCAACGCCAAGTATCGATCAAACAGTGTATACAAAGTATAGAGGGCAGAAATGTCCATCTTGTACAATGTGCGCGATGAAGTGTTTATTTTATGTATGTACATATAAACTCCGCATTTGTAACTATTAGAACAAGTATTTTCATTTTATCGATTCGTAAATGGCTGTCAGATAAATTTTTCTGAACTTATCTATGTTTCTATAAATATCGATTGAACAATTTTAATTAATAAAAACATGTTCCATGTATAAATTGATGAAATAAGTACTTTGCGATGTGTTATTTATTGACAAGGACAAATAGTGTATTAATTAATCACATTAATCAATAAGTTTCTTTTTGTATAAATGGCATTCTATGAAGAAAGGGAAATTGAAATCTTATGAACAGATTTTAAAAGTAAAGGAGATATGAACATTAAACGACATAAAAAGAAATAAAACTGTACTATGATTATGAAATTTAAATAATTCTATATTATTACACTATATATGTATGTATGTTTACCTGTCTTTTCGTAAAGAATATTTATTTTTTGTGTAAGTAATAAGTTTATTTCCAATCTTTAAAACCACATTATATATTATAAATACACTGTTCAGCCTCCATTGATTTGTTTAACATTTACAAATGACAGTGAAGGGATATAAAAATCGATTGTTCTCTATTCTAAATTCCAGGTTAATAGTCTAACAAAATTTTGATCTCTTCAATAAGCGTATATTAAATAAATATAAAATCATTACTTAAAAAAATATTAACGGAAATTAAAATATAAAATCGGTTGTAATGCTCGGAAATGAAAATTGTTGACGAAATATGAATTTATGCTATTTGTATATGAGGAAATATGTGTCGTATAACCGTAATATAAATATTGATTACATTATTAAATCGAAAGGTAAGTGATAAATGCGAATTTAAATGTAATTTACAATTTAAAGAATTTTATATCGTCAGTCACAGAATGAGGTATTTACTGGAAAGTCGAAAAGGTGGAAATAAAGAACTTATAGTGGTTTGTAAAATCGATAAAGTCAAATGTTCCGTATACACATATATGCTACTCCGTTTTCAATGATATTGTTTTTGATATCCTTATCAGTATGGCTTTGTATATGTCGATGGGGATTCCGGTATAATTTAAAAGATAGAGAAGTAATTTTTTCAAATATTAATTCATTTCTATTTTATGTTTTGATTTGTTACAATTTGAATATCAAATTAAAAATATTCATGTCAATACGTAATATAATATTTTATACTGACACATGTCTTTAGATCCTTACCTGTTTGATTTTATATTTCATTATTATCACGTTGTTAAACATGCTTTTTCTGGGCCATATGGAATTTTATTGTGATCGTCCACGAGAAGTAAAAAATTAATCACCGCTATTGTGACAAGTAATAACGGTAAATAGTTACAGATATGCTTCTAGCCATTTTTTTCTTAGAAAAAGAAAACACATTAATAAATCGATATACAGGGTGTTCGGCCACCTCTGGGAAAAATTTGAATAGGAGATTCTAGCGGCCGAAATAACACGAAAATCAAGAATACCAATTTGTTGATTGAGGCTTTGTTAAAAACTTATTAACGTTTAAAGTTCCATGCCGACTGGAAAATTTTTCGGCGAAATAGAAAAAATTTTCAAATCGTTTTGGAAAAAATATTTTTGGCTACGAGGATCGATTACAACCATTTTTGGTCAATAGACATACCCCCGAAATCCTAATTATTTTCGAGAAAAAAAATTCAGAGAGGTGCATAAATTTTTCGGCGAACAAAAAATTTTAAATCATTCTGGAAAAATTATTTTCGGTTGCGGGGGTCAATTCCAATCATTTTTGGTTACTACACATACACCCGAAATCTTAACCACTTTCGAGAAAAAATTCAGTAAGTGGAGAAATTTTTCGACGAAATTAAAAACTTTCAAATCATTCGGAAAAAATTATTTTTAGTTGCAAGGGTTAATTACAATCATTTTTTATCATAGACAAACCCCCGAAATCCTACTTACTTTCGAGAAAAAAATTCAGTGAAGTGGACAAATTCGGCAAAAGTAAAAAATTTCAAATCATTCTAAAAAAATTATTTTTGGTTGCAAGGGTCAATTACAATTGTTTTTTATCAATAGACATACCCCCGAAATCCTACTCACTTTCGAGAAAAAATTCGTGTAGGTGGACAAATTTTATTAATTATTTTTGTTAATAACTTTTTAACGACACTTCAATCAACAAATTGGTATTCTTGATTTTCCTCTTAGTTTGGCCTCTAGAATCTCTGATTAAAATTTTTCCCAAGGGTGACCGAACACCCTGTATATTCCAGTATAGAAAAATAAATATGTGCAAAATAATTTTTGTATTATATTTATCATCTAGAATTAAGTTACAATTTTGTACCGTTGTACTTTGAATTTATTTGTATTAAATTTATTTTAGATAACCTTTTTGTTTCTTCGTATAGAAGAATTTCAGGAAATCATTGAAATAAAATAGTAATGATTGAAATATTCAAATGAACCGCGTTTCGATATTAATCGATTCGTATCATTGAAAAACTTATTTGTTGGAAATCGGTCTGCTACGGTAAATGGTTATATCATTCTTCCATTTATTGAAGTTTGTTTCCAGAAGTGTATCTATTTAATTAGAATACAAGGTATTCTACTTAATCTTTGAAATTAATAATATACACATTTAATTAAATGTTGAGATTGTAAACTTATTTTTAACGTGTGAATGTAGTAACATGTTTTCGAGAAATATCTAACCTATAAATGTATTATTATTTAGATATAGTCAATTTAAAAGTTAAAATAATATGTGTCACAACATGAGTCAAATTAAAATCACTGTTCAACTTATTTACTGGTGAAAAATTTGTAATAATCATAATTTCCCAATTAAATGTTCAACTGATTTACCGGCGAAAAATTTTTAGTAATTTAATATAGATTTCAAAATTCAATATATTATATACAAACGCAGTGCTGAAACAGAAAGATATGGATAAAAAATAAAAATGAATTTTATTTGGAATTATGGTAACAGAAGAAATAAACTACAGAAAAATAAGAAACAGCTTATTGTGGAAATATTGTTTCAGATGGGTATTGGACGACATGCTCAATTTATTGCTAGAACTGTTATGGTTCAAAACAATAATGTAGAAAAAGCTTGCAAACACTTAAATAGTATATTAGGAAAGGAGAAAATTTTCGAACAATTTAGACGTACTAGGTATTTTGAGAGACCCTCGCAAGCAAGACGGAGGATAAATTATGAAAAGTGCAAAGCTATTTATGACGAGGATATGAATAGAAAAATTAAATTTATCTTAAGAGTAAACAGAGAAGATCCATACCCTGGCTGCTCTTAAACTGAAACTTTATTGCAATGCTGTTGAATTTCATTTTGTCTAATCTTGATGTCTATAATCCTGTATGTATCCATATAAATATTTTGGTAAAGTATTCATAGTTTTACATGTCATTCTGTATTAATGTACAAACAGAACAAAATAAATTATAAGTCATCATATATGCTTTACAACAAAATGGTATTCATAATAATCCCTATTTTACTTTATGTTCTTGTATTATTCTAACATAAGAAGTAGTAAAGAAAGATAAGAAAGTAAGTAGAAGCTTACTTGAAAAATATTTTTGTATTTTAAATAGTTGATGAAATATAATACAAAATTTACTGTAATTTTAAAAGCATTTTTTATTTCATTTCTAGTATGTTTATAAATGTGCTTTTGTAGATAATGTATTTTATTAAGTCACCAGGCTTGTAATCATAGAATTTTTTAATGGGGATATTTGAGGAACTAAAGCAACAATACAAATCTTTAAGGCTGGGAATTTCAAACTACAAAAAAAAATTAATATAAGTATAATTTTATTTAGATATTTATTATCATTTCGTTCGTATGTCGTTTATATTAATTCATATTAATAAACATATTTTCCATAAAATCCTAGATGAGGTGAATGACAATATTATAAATCAAACCTATTTCAATATCTTTGGAATTGGAATCTAGTAATAAATACTACTGAGCCAACAAGAATTAATTGAATTGTCAAATAAAACTGCATATATGGTCAAGGAATAATGAAGAAAGGAGTACACTATTTGAGATCACGTGTAAAAAAATGTTTGCTAGTTTTAAAGAAACAATGATCACACAATGAATAAACACGGAAGAAGTTATTTATAGAGTATTATTTTATAACAAAGTGGGTCTACTGAATAACTGATACCTTTACAGCACAACAAATGTACAATACAAATCATAGAATTTGTGATGACCAAGTATGTAATAGTATCAGATTCTAACACTCTATTCATTTTCAAGTCATAATTATAGTTATGGTACATACTAGAGTATGACAATAAATTTGTGTGGTTGAGTGAAGTCTATCATGTATCATAATTATAATTATCATTTAAAAGCATGAAAAATATTAAGATTTAATATTGTTGCTAGTTTTATAGCTTTTTAGTTTAGTGTGTTTGTATGTGTCATGCTTTTGTTATTGTATATTTATTTGTTTAGTATATAATATATTTAATCTCTAAAAAGTGCTTAAATCATAATATTTTCTGATTTAACACTTAATTTTTATTTGAGTCGAAAATAATTGTTTTTAATTAAAACAACATTTTGATTGATATATTAATTGCAATATGGTTTAAGTATGCTATGAATAAGGTTTCATTTAACTTTTCTATGTTAAATTTATGTAAAATATTTAGAAAAAAATTTATAAATAAATGCGTATTAGAAAAATCAAAAAGGTCTCAAACTTTTTGACAGTATTTATAAAATAAGAAACGAGTGCAGTATCACGAATTGTAATGGATCATTGAAAACGTTTAAAATTGTGCAAATTGCAAAATACTAAAGCGGAATCATAATATGATATACAAATTTATTTAAAAGACCTTGAAATATATGGAAAAAATAAATCAAAAAGACAGCTACACATTATTCCTGAACGCAGTAGACAGATAATTTTGTGAATTGGAAACTAATAGTATAGCCGTATAAGGCAGTCAAAGGTACTCTGAAACCAAATTGAATGTGCAATGGATCATTTGACAGCTCATCGAAAGAAAACACTTTGTACCAATTCTTATCCCAAAATCTTCACTGTGGAGGTAGTAAAGAAGTGATAAAGAAAATCATGTTTACTCTACTGACTGCAAAAATGTGACAAAATTTTTTCAGATTCTTAAATTGAAAAACCAGGTTATAGAAAATAAAAAATGCTGAGTGTTAATTGCGTATTGAAGCAGTTGTAGAACCACTTTTATATTTTTACAGTAAACAGATATTATGAAAAGTTAGATCTCAAGTCCCTTATCTTTGACAATTATGGGTGGATTGGAGCAGAAAATCGTATATTGGCTTACTATTATTTCTCCTTCTCTTTAAATCAAGCAGTTTTCTCCCTCTCTTTTTCTTTCTTTAAACAATATGAATGTTTGTTACGGCTTCAGTATCTAACTTTCAAATGTAAGTGCCATTCTACACCAAATCTATTAACTCACTCTCTGTAAATGATTCTTTTTTGTAATAAACGCATTTTTAAATATCAGTCTGATTGTTCATTGCTTATTTTTGAATGAAGTATAATTGCTCGATGGAAACTATGAGAACAAGTTATTAATTGTCCTGCCTGCTCTACGAAGAAAGTTGATGGGCTGAGGGCCCAGGACGTTCACAGTGACGTTTTGTAGTCTGCTTTTTTAAAAACAGAGGTGTATTAGTAATCATACCATAAATACAAGTGCTGAAAATTCCCAAAAGGGGGTCTAATAATTTCATGAAGAAGTAAAAAAAGGAAACACATGTGATTTGCTAAAGAATGACTAACGAATTATGATAAGGTTCGACGACGATATCTCGTTCTGATGTTGCTACAATTTCACATCGACACAGTACATGTATAGTAGGGTGGACCTTATCTTTCAACTTTGAAATTTTTTTGGAACGCCCCACAGTGGTCCCAAATTGTGAAATCGTGGTCAAAACCCCAAAAAATAATTTTTCGCTATGTAGGTTTTACCTATTGGAATCGTCAGTTTAAGGATGTCTCTTTAGGGTAGGGGAAATGAAATGAGTCATATTTTTATATCTAGATGACAATTGCGATCCAAACTTCGGCTTCGTTAGTCAGTCGTTTGACGAGAACGTAAGCGTCAGTTCATACCGTAAAGTGAAAAGTGCACAAGCGTTTTTAGAAGGCATTAATTTCAATTCTGCAAAATGGATGCTGTTCCTGGAAGTAAGTAGAACATTTCTGAGTACTAACATATTAAAAATTGTTATCCAGTAAGTTTGTAAACCGGTACATTCATTACTGAAAATAAAATGTAAAATTTCATGCATACATCGCAAACAAGTAAGCAAAAAGTTGCATATTCCACAACATCACGGCTCAATTTTTTTCAGGCTTGTATGTGATACTTTGACCTTGTAGAATTTGCAAGAATTAGCTGCCCGTTTTTGCCCGACTAGTCGTACCACCCTATTTTATAATGCAAGGTGGCCGCGTTACTAAATCACGCGGTTTTTTCTTGGAAACTGTGGCAGATACAATAAATTTTTTAAAATAAATAATGTATAATTTTGGGTGGACTTATTATTAGATTTAATAAATTTTGAAATTAATGCATAAATAATTTTTTATTATTAAATATTATATATTTTTAATAAACCAGTTGATCTACTTCATTATTGACTAGTAGTAGTATGGATTTATTGTTTCCCCTTAGGGTTACATAGTCTCTCCTCCTTTCCCTCACAATTCTTCCTTAAACTAACTTAATTTCTACCCTCCACCCCTCCTCCTTCTTTCGCTTTCCTCCCCTCTCCTTCCCTCCGCTTAACCTACTCTTAACCTAACCTTAACCTACGCGCTTTGTACGCTCGCTTCGTCTCGCTTTGCCTCGCTTCTTTTTCTATTTCCTATCCTTACATCTACGCCTCCGTATTTCCACGCACGCCTCCTCCGTCTTTGACTTCCATTTCCATACTTTCATTCCATTCCTTCTTTCACTCCTTCCTCCTTTCCTACCTCCCTCCTTCCTAAACTCTCTCCCCCCTTTCCTCCTCTCTCTCTCTATCTTCCATCTTTCTCTCTCCCTTCCCCTTTCCTCCCTCCCCACTTCCCCTCTCTTCCTCCCCCCTTCCCCCTTCTTCCTTCCTTCCTTTCCTCCTAGTTTTTTGCTCCCCCTCTTTCTTCACTCCTTCTTTCTACCTGTCCCTCCATTCTCCTCCCTCCCTCCCTACTCCCCTCCCTTACTTCCCTCTCTACCCCTCCTTTCTCTCACCCCCTCCAGTCTCTGAGTACTTCCCTCCGCTCGTCCCAAAACCACATCGTCCCATCCACCATAATCTTTCCGTATAACACCCTCACTCTCCTTCCCTTCACCTCCTCCTCCTCTCCTATCCTCCTTAGATGCCACTGCATCCTCCTCTCCCTCCACGTCATATCGTCCTCCACTCTCTCTTTCCTTCCCCTCAACCTCCCTTTGCCCCTCATCACCTCCCTCTTTGCCTCCGTTGATTCCAACTTCACCTCCAGCATCAACTCCTTCCCCTTCTGCCTTCTTCCTCCTACCTCCCTTGCCCCCACAATTCCCCCCTTGTACCCCCACAATTGCCAATATCTCTCTAGCCCTTTGCATCGCCGTTCCCTCCCTCCCTACCTCACTACTCTTTATTATTACGTTTTTCCTTCTCTCTTCCCTCTCTTTCCCTTCTAATTTCCTCTCCAGCTCCTGTACCCTTGTTTCCCACTCTTCCCCCTCCCTCTCCCAGCCCGCCTTATCTCCTCGCCCCTCCCATGCCCTTCCTGTCACCATCGCCTCTATCCTCTCCTCTACTCCCTTTAACCTTCCTTCCTTCAACTCCACCTCCCCCATCTTTCTCTCTAAACTCTCCATTCTATCCTCCATCTCCTCTCTTTCCCTTCTCCATCTCTCCTCCCATTCCTCCATCATCTCCCTAGTTCTTTCTATCTCCTCCCTTGTCTCCCTCCCCTGTACCTTCATCTCCTCCCTCATTTCCCTCACTTCTCTGACCAGCCTCCCTAGCTTCCCCTCCTCGCCCACCCTTCCCTCCTCCGGCGACCTCAGCACCTTTCTGCTCTTCATGAAGGCTTCCTCCTCCCCTCCCCGTTCCTCCCGCCTTTCCTCCTCGTCTCTCTTCCTCTCCCCTAGCTCCGTCCACTCCAGTATAGAACCTCCATTTTTGCTCCTTTGTCTCCCCCAGCTCTCCGCAATCGTCCTTCTGCCTCTCCTTCTCCCCTCCCCTTCCCCCCTCTCCTCTACCCTCCACGCTCCTACCCCCCTATACTTTCCCTTTTGCTCCCCCCTTCCACCCTCTTTCCCTCCATCCATTTTTTCCTCACCCTTTTCTATATCCCTTATACCACCGCTCTCTACCTTATCTCCCGCTTCTCCTTTCCTTTCAATCCTTACCGCCCGATGCCGCCACTGCCCCTCTACTGTGGGTGCAGAGATGCCAGAAAAGCACCGCCGGGTGCACACGCACACATGCCAGATACGCGTACGTGAGCTCGTGGAGTTTCGGAAAGTCGACAAAGGCAAACTGACGCATGCCCTCTTTCTCGATTCTCCGAAGCTGCCCGAAGTAATTTCGGATCGCCTCGTGGGAGTCGAGAGAGAAAGGCTCACATTTGCCTTCTCGCTCTAAACAACTGAAATCCGACCTCCCGTCAACGGCATACGATTTGGATTCTCGAGCCGAGATTCTCGACTGCCCAGGCATTTTTACTTTCCGACCTATGTAGGCGCACATAAGCAAAGTACCCATAAT